TCACAGACATCTGCCTGCCTCTGCCTCTGGGATTAAAGGTATACATTACCATGCCTAACTGAATTAGTTTTTGTAAGTAGACAAGATATCCTCTTTTCTCCTTTTCAAAAATCACACAACACATGCTAATTTTCCCAAGTCTTTTTGTGTTGGTTTGGTGGTTTCCACAGTTCATGAGGCAGTGCAAGGTCTTTAGTTACTACCCCTTTACTGCAGATAGCAGCTACTGGAGACAACATGCCTGTGTCTCTCAGAGTTGACTTGTCTTTTGATATAAAAGATTGATGATTTCTGCTTGAACCTAAGGACATTCAAAACAAAATCTTTCTAATATTTTTTTCTTTTTCTTTTTTTATTGAGCGTTTTTAATTTCATACACTTCCCACTCAAATCCAGACCCCCTTCCCCATCTATGCCTCACCCTATCCCCCCACCGAACCCTATGCACTCTGCCATACATGCTGAGTCTTATTCATTCAGGTGTCTGTACCCAAATGTCCTTCAGTGTAACTGTATCCACTGGAGTCTAGTCAGCCCATCCAGTGGTCATATGTAAGTCATACTCTCCCTAACCCCGCAGCAATCAGTCTCAAATAGTTCTCAATCTAGTGCTGACCTGCCACCTATTTCTCACCTCCCCTTTGGGCCCTTGTTTAATTGAGCTGACATGGGTCCTGCGCTAGATGCCACCTCTACCACAGGTTCACATGAGCAAGCCTCCAGTGGCCTGGAAGCCTCTGCTGCCTGTGTTCATGAACCAGCCCTGGCTCTTAGACTCTTTCTGCCTCCTCTTCTGCAATGGTCTCTGAGCTGTAGGTTCTTCTTAATATTTTTAAACACCAAATTGATTTCTCTATCTAAAAATTTTTAATTGCATTTATTTATTTGTTTATTTATTTGTGTGTACAAGCTCATGTGCTGTGGTATGAACATGGAGGTCAGAAGACAGCTTGTGGAGTCTGTTCTCATCTTTTACCATGTGGGTCCTGGGGGCTGAACTCAGGCTGCCAGGCTTGATGGCAAGTGTCTTTCCCTGCTGAGGCATCTCGCTAAAACCTCAAATTGGGTTCTCATTTAAAGTCAATAAATGAATTCAAAATAAAATTCAACCTAAATAATTGAACAGGAAAAAGAGTTAAGTAGACATTTAAAATTTTAAATAATTGATTTGAGATAAAGTCTTGCTGTGTAGCCCATACTGGCCTCGAACTTGTTATTTAGCCCAGGATGGATGGCTTTTAATTCATGATCCTCTGTCTCAGCCTCCCAATTGCTGGGATTATAGGCATGATCCACCATGCCTGGCTAGTATAGTTTTTTAAAAAGCAAGTGTGTCCTAAGCCATACAAAGGCTACTCTAATGTAGTGAGACTGCAGAAAGCACACTGGACAAAGAATCAGGAAGCTTACTTTCCAGTTCCAGTTATGATCCTGGATGTCTGAGTTTGGCCAAGTCCCTTCCTTTGGGGCCTTAAATTCCTCATCTGTAAAATGAAAGTTGGACTAATTTAGCAATGGTTCTTTCAGCCTGAACTATGTATGACATTATCACAGTGGTTTCCTTTTGTTTTGTTTTTTGAGATAGGGTCTCATGTAGCCCAGGCTTGCCTTGAATTTGCTGTATAGCCAAGGATGACCTTAAACTCCTGGTCCTCTAGCCTCAGCCTCTCAAGTGCTGTAATTACAGGCCTGTGTCATCACCCCTGGCTCACAGTTGTTTTCCTCTTTTCCTTTTAACAGCCCAATAAACAGCCCCTTGCCCAGCACACCAGCATGACTGTCAGATAACATAAAAATTTTTCCTACAGCCTCCATGTATATATGTATATATATGTAAACCTATACAGAAATCCAAACAAGTGTTTTTAAGTGAGAACGTAACAACAAAATATAAAATGCATTCCTCAGCTGTACTCTGGATACATTTTGTTTACCCTGATTAGGTTTGCCCTATTCTCTTTCCAGCCTTCAGCCAATTTTCCAAGGTTGGGGAACAAACCCCCCTGTTGTTTACCCTGCCCAGCTCCTGCTTTGTTGTTCCTTTTCTAGTCCTTCCCTCTTACCTGGCTCTTCCCATCACCTGCTTCCTGTCCCTTCTCTTCAGGCTCCTCCTTTTCTAACTTCTCTTCTCCTTCTTTGGACAATTTTTCTTTTTCAAAATCACGATGTCCTCATGGGAACTTGTTTTTTACTTATGGAACTTCCTTAACTCAGATATGAAAACTTATTTTAATAGATTTAAAAAATTTTTATTATTTTTATTTTATGTGTATGTGTGTATTGCCTGCATGTAGGTAAGTGCACCCATGTCGTGCAGCATGTATGAATGTTTTGCCCACATGTTATATAAGTGAAATGCCTGTGGAGGTCAGAAGAAGGCATTGGATCCCCTGGGACTGGGGTTAGGGATGGCTGTTAGCCACCATGTGGGTGCTGGGAACTGAACCCAGGTTCTCTGAAAGAGCAGCCAGTGCTCTTAACCTTTTAGCCACCTCTCCAGTCCTTCATATTATCCTTTTGATCAAGATAAATGATGGCTGCATGCTAAGACACTTTGGAAGGCTCTCAATGACCATAACTACAACACGTCCCCTAGTAGGTTCCAATGGCAAACAGGAGTATGATTTTTGGAACAAGTCCTCAAGTTCTGTCTTGGCCCCTGTTCTGGATATAGTAAATAAATAAATAAATAAATAATGAATATTTATCTATTTTTATTGGTTTCTTGAGATAGGATCTCATGTAGCCCAGGCTGGCCTTAGATGCTTGGTTCTTCTACATCTGCCTCCCAGGTGCTGGGGTTTCAGGCATGTACCACACCTGGCTTCTGAATGGTATTTTAATCAATGACTTGCATGCAGGGCCTATTTGTGTACTATGTGACTGACTTGAAGCAAAGAGGAGAAACGGCACATACTTTGGACAATATCAGAGTCCAAAATACCAGAGAAAACACTGGAGGAATCATGCCAAGTTCTGCTCTCAGGTCCAAAACCCCTGCAGTGAGCCAGCCTGTGGGTGATTGATTGGCAGTAAGCTTCTGAGACTTGGTCACTAGAAAACACCACGTATCAGAAGTGTGAAGAAGCAGTTGGAAAAGCCACAGAAGTCTTTATTTAGCACACTTGAAGAAATAAGGTGTTCAGAATGCAGAAGGCACTGGTCTTACATTACATTGACTGAATGGCCTCATTCATGCAAGGCAAGCACTCTACCGCTAGAGTGTAGCACGCTACATCCCCAGTCCTCTTATACTGTAAGGCAGAATGGACTACCCCATAAGGGGATCTCAAACTCGATGTCCCTTTCTTTCCCAGCCCTCTCAGGAAGTGGTGAAGGAGATGATAAAATTCTCAAAGGATACACTGGAAAAAATAGACAAGGCTCGCTCTGAGGGTTTGTACCATGAGGTAAGAGCACATTTTATAGGTGGTAGAGGTAGGAAAGAGGGTAGAAAGTTCCTCTAGTAAGGAAGGGATTTGAAGGAGGGTAGAGAGACTACTGAGCAGGTTATATGTTCTGGAAAGTGTCCCTTGGTTGAGGCAGTGACTACTCCTCCATGCCCTTCAACCTTTAGGTCCTGCTAGAGGTGTATTCTCAGTGGCTGTTCAACCCATAGAAATCATGTCTGAGGAGAGCAGAGGCAGGTGGAGCTGTGTGCCTGGGGGCTCTGTGACAGCTCAGGTGGCATCAGAGATGGAGGGAAGGCAATAGCAGTGGGGCACACTGGAAGTGAATTATGTATCTTGTTGCACCTCATCTCTGCCCACTGGAAGTTCAACTTTAGCCCCCAAATCTCCATGGCCTCTCCTCCAGTTATACACTATAATCATCTGTATAAACTCCTCATTACCCACCTCATTACCCAGGTAATTTCACTAAAATCCCTGCCAATGAGACTCAGGCGTCAAGGTTTTTAAAGGGCCGATAAGATTTCAATGTGCAGCACAAACTGAGGCCCACTCCTCAGCATTAGTCTGCTAGAGAAGTTTCTGGCTTTTTTGCTTGTTTGTTTTTCAGAGCTGAGGGCTGAACCCAGGGCCTTGTGCTTGCTAGGCAAGCACTGTACCACTGAGCTAAATCCCCAACCCGTTTGTTTTTAACAGACAAGACCTCACTATATAGCAGAGGCTAGCCTTGAACTCCTTATCCTCCTGCCCCATCCTCTTGAGTATTAGGATTACTGTCATGAACTACCACATCTGAGAAGTTGCTTTGAATTAGCCTGGGCAGAATGTTGAAAATTTTTGTGTCTCATCCCCTAAGACAGGATCCATCCATTCTGAAGTAGAAGCATGGGACCATACATAGTGTTGTAGCTGTTTTCCCAAGCTCATTATATAACTGGGATATGTAGCTGGGTGTGGATGCCACTAGACTGTGCTATAGGGTGGTTGATTTCACTTCTTGTCTGTTTCCTTTTCCTTCTTCTTTGCTAACTCATTCATTACACCCAAATACCCTTTACTGGGGTAACCAGTGCAGGCTATTCTTCTTATCCCTTGAGTTCTGTCAGGTGGGGAAATGTTATGAGAACAAAGCATGGCGTGATGTGGCATCTGTGTCAAGAGCACGCGTTAGGAGCTGGATAGGCCATGGGGCTCCATGTGCTCCCTTCCCCTGGCCTCCTCCTTCTTTCTTTCCACCTCCCAGTATCACTTCAGGCTGGTGACCAAGGCTCTAGCACATTGGCTTTTGGGGGACACTTGTTCAAACCATGACAGCATATGCATTATGTGTATGTTTGCCTATATCTGTATGCATATATTTGAGTGTAGATAAATACATACATGTACATATACAGTTTCCACAGATCTACTACCTTCTGACTTTGTAAACTTGCTCCTTTATATCATCTGGATGCTTGATCAATACCCTTGTCCATCCCTACATCTAGCCAAGTAGGACCATTTTACTATTCAGATCACAAATATTGTCTGTGTCACAAATATCCCCAGTCTTTGAAGAACAAATACCTGGTGCTTTACCTGTGAGTTAAACGTGGTTGGTGCAGTGGTGATGACAGGTCCTATGTCTCCTTCCAGGTTGTGAAGTTGTGCCGGGAGTGCCTACAGAAGCAGGAACCAGTGTTTGCTGACACCAACCTCTACCTGTTGCGGCTGCTGAGCATTGTGTCAGAGGTCCTCTCCTACCTCCAGGCCTTTGAGGAGGCCTCACACTATGCAAGGAGGATGGTGGATGGTTACATGTAGGTGATGGTCCTGAGTCTCAGGTAGTCTCCCAGAAACCCTCTATTCCAGGTGTGGCAAGGAGATGGCACACGTTTGTGAGCACTCCTGCACCCACAGCAGACATCAGTCATGGGCCGTGGTCATGGTCATGCCTAGCCTTATAAATAGCCCTTTATCATAGTACTCCAAGCAGTACCCACCAAAACAGCTAGCACTCCAGACGAAGCTTATTTGTCATCCTGGGTTTAAAAAAGATTGACTTGTTTTCACTTTCTATGTATGACAGAAAGGGCTTTTGACAAAATCCAACCTGCATTCATGTTAAAAAGCACAATGCTCACAGAAGGTCAAACTGGCCAAGTTTTAAAGAATAAGAGACTGCAGAGTGTAGGCTAGAACTCCTCTATGGAACCTCATCCACCCATGGCTCAGGGACCATTGCAGAAGAGGGGGTGGAAAGATTGTAAGAGCCAGAGCTGGTTCATGAACACAGGGAAGCAGAGGCTTTCAGGCCACTGGAAGCTTTCCCATGGACAGACCCATAACACATAAGGAAATGAAACAGTAATACAAAGCCTCCCAACTAAAAAAAGCCCAGGCCCAGATGGATTTACAGCAGAATTCTACCAGACACTTAAAGGAGACCTCCAACCAATACTACTTAAATTATTCGAAATGACAGAAACAGAGGGAAAACTCCCAAATTCTTTCTATGAAGCCAGCATCACTCTAATACCCAAACTGGGTAAGGACACAACCAAAAAAGAAAACAAGGGCAATGGTGGCATTGAGCACAGGACCCATGCCAATTCAATTAAACAAGGGCTCAGAGGGAAGAAGAGAAATGGGTGGTGGGCCAGCCCTAGACTGAGGACTATTGGAGACTGATTGCTGCTGGGTGAGGGAGGGAATACCTGACATACGATCACTAGTGGTCAACTAGACTCCAGTGGATGCATTTACACTGATGGAAATTTGGGTACAGATGACTGAATAGATAAGACTTAACATATATGGCAGAATACATGAGGTCCAGTAGGTGATGGGGGAGGCATGAATGGGGGAGGGAATATCCTTAATGAACATAGATGCAAAAATTCTCAACAAAATCCTTGCAAACCTCATATAGACACACACCAAAAAGGTCATTCACCATGATCAAGTAGACTTTATCCCAGAAATGAAGGGATGATTCAATATACACAAGTCAATAAATGTCATTAATCATATAAATGGACTCAAAGACAAAAACCACATTGTCATTTCAATAGATGCAGAAAATGCTTTTGACAAAATTCAGCATGTATTTATGTTCAAAGTCCTAGAGGGACTTGGACTGGAGGGACCATACTTCAACATAATTAAAGCTATATACAACAAACCCACAGCCAATATTATTCTAAATGGAGAAAAACCGGAAGCTTTTCCATTAAAATCATCATTAAAATCAGGAACCAGACAAGGCTGTTCACTATCTCCACTCCTTTTCAAGATAGTGCTTGAAATTCTTGCTAGAGCAATAAGACAAGAGAAGGAAACTAAAGGAGTACTAATTGGAAAAGAAGAGGTCAAATTATCACTATTTACAGATGGCATTATATGTAAGAGATCCCAAAAATTTCACCAGAAAACTGCTAGAAATGATCAAGACTTTCAGAAAAGTGACAGGTTACAAAATCAATTTACAAAAATTAGTAGTCTTTCTATATACCAATAACAAGCAATTGGAGAAAGCATACAGGGAAACCCTCCCCTTCACAATATCCTAAAAAGTATTTAGTAATAAGCCTAACCAAAGACATTAAAGATCTCTACAATGAAAATTTTAAATCTTTGAAGAGAGAGATAGAGGAAGACACCAAGATGGGAGGACCTCATGTGCTCATGAAACGGTAGAATTAATATTGTGAAAATCACCATCCTACCAAAAGCAATATATAGATTCAATGCAATGCCAATCAAAATCCTCATGACATTCTTCACAGAGCTAGAAAAAAAATCCTAATATTTATATGGAATCACAAAAGACCCTGGATAGCCATATCAATTTTGAGCAAAAAGAGCAATGCTGGGGGAATCACCATACCAGACCTCAAACTATATTATGGAACTATAGTCATAAAAAAAGCATGGTACTGGCACAAAAACAGACATATAGATCAATGGAACATAATAGAGGACCCAAACAGTAGTGCATGCAATTTCAGTCACCTGATATTTAACAAAGGTGCCAAGAACACACAATGGAGGAAAGACAGCATCTCCAGCAAATGGTGCTGGCAAAACTGGATCTCCTATCTGTAGAAGAATGAAATTGGATTTATTTTTCACCCTGCAAAAAAGTCAAACCCAAATGGCTCAAAGACCTCAATATGAAACCTGAAATCTGAAATCTGAAACTGTTATATACATAGGATGCATAGGAAGTACCCTACAAGATAGTAGGAAAGGACTTTCTTTTTCTTTTCTGTTTTCCTTTTCTTTTCTTTTTGGTGTGGGGGGGGTGTTGCGGCTTTTTGAGACTGAGTCTCCCTGTTGCACCACCTGGCCTGGAACTCGCTATGTAGACCACGCTGGCCTTGAACAAAAGGAGATCTGTTTGCCTCTGCCTCCCATATACTGGGATTACAGTCATGTACCACTAAGCCCGACTAGAAAGGACTTTCTAAACAGACATCAGTCACTCAAGAATTAAGGTCAACAATCAGCAAGTAGGACCTCATTGAACTAAAAGCTTCTGTACAGCAAAAGAAGCAACAAAGGCCGTGAAGGGGAAACCCAATGAGTGGCAGAAAGTCTTATGTATATGAGTGTTTTTCCCTCATGTATATAAGTGCACCATGTGCACACCTGGTGCCCACATAGGCCCCAGGAGGGCATCATATCCCCTGGAACTGGAGTTAAGTACTGATGTTAGCTACCATGTGGGTTCTGGGAAACAAACATGGGTCCTTTGCAAGAGCAGTAAATGATCTTGACCTCTGAGCCATCTCTCTAGCCTATGATTTTATTTATTTTTTGACACTTTCATTTGTTACTTAAATGGCATCTTCTGCTCTTTGTTTTTCAAATGCAGCTTGAGTAACTTACACAAGAGACCCGAAAGAGAGAGAGAATAGATAGATGATAGATCAGTCATTCTTACTTATAAATGATAACGTACAGCTCCTTTATGTTCCCTCCACCGGTGTTTTCTCTTATCTTCTATGTCTACACTAGCATATGAATTTGCATTTATGGGCAGATAAGTAATTTGTCATAAGAAGACTCACCCTTTGGACAATGTTACTCATTTAAAAGAAAATGCAGGCAGAATATACAGTGTGCTGGGGGGACCCTGCCAGGAACAATGAAAGCATAGTGGTAGTCCCAGGATAGACACTAAAGTGTCTAAATTTTTTCTTCTTTCTTGAACTTTCTTTCATTTTCCCTGGAGAACTGAGGTGCTCTAGAGGGTACCAGGCTTCCTATGCTCAGAGTACAGTTGTGGTCTCTTTTGTGCATGAGGACTCGACTTTCTGGTCCAGGTCAGAGTACCAGCTCTCTCAGCCTCACTGTATGGAACATTCTCAGTTTTCTGCATCTCAGTACCCCTCACAGCACTAGTAGGAAGAAGAGTTGAACTTGACCAATGAGGGTGCTTGTCTGAGCGTCATTTCTAGTTGATGTGACAAAATACCCTGACAAAAGCAGCTTGTTTTAGCTCACAATTCCAAGTTACTTCCCATCCTCTTGGGGAAGTCAAGATGGCAGGAACTTGAAGCAGCTTGCCACATCACCTCCACACTGAGCAGCAGGCAATGCATCAGTACAAGAGTGCTTGTTTTCAGTTTGCCTTCTCCGTTCTGACACAGGTTGGGATCCCCTGCCCAGGGAATGGCATCACCCACAGGTCTTCTCACCTCACTTAACATAATCAAGACAAGTACCCACAGACATGCCCACTACCAGCCTTATCTACAAAATTCCTCATTGGGACTCTCATCTAAGGTGATTCTAGATTGTGTCGATTTGACAACTAAAGCCAACTGTTAGAGCACTTTAGGAGTTGTTCTGTGTTGTGCAGACGTACGAATGGTTAGGATAAAAGGTCAGGATTATTTTCTGTGCCCTTACAGGAAACTCTACCATCATAACAATGCTCAACTTGGCATGGCTGTGATGCGGGCAGGGCTGACCAACTGGCATGCTGGTAACATCGAGGTGGGGCATGGGATGATCTGCAAAGCCTATGCTATTCTCCTGGTGACACATGGACCCTCTCACCCTATCACCAAGGACTTAGAGGCAAGTAGCATCCTGGGGCTGGGCAGTCTCTGCCTTGTCTGAGCTCTATTAGGATGAAAGTCCTGGCATAGTTGGACTTTACTTTAGGGAAGTTTGTAGACTGCCAGCTAGAGTAGAAAGGAACTTAGGAGTATTAGCTTACTTCCTTGATTATATGTAAGGAAAGGCCCAGGGAAGGGGAATAATCTGTCGGTAGTTTTCTACTGGGTTGATGGTAAGGCTGAGAGTTGAACCCTGAGTGTGTTGTATCATGATGCCCTAAGTCTGAACCGAGAAAGCCTAAACAGTGGTATGAGTGTGTGTGTGTGCGTGTGTGTGTGCATGTGTGTGTGCATGTGCGTGTGTGTGCGTGTGTGTGTGCGTGTGGGTGGGTTGCATGTGCCCACGTGTGCAGGACACCTGATGTCTTCCTCCATCATTCTCTACCTTATTCCCTCAAGACAGGGTCTCTCACTGCATCCCAGCACTGGGTTAGATCAGGGCTAGCTATATCCAGTTTTTTTTTTTTTTTTAAACAACAGCAGGAGTTCTGGGGATCCAAACTCAGGTTCTTAGCAGCAAGTATTCTTATCCACTGAGCCATCTGCACAGCTCTACAGCCTTTTATATTATAAAGTATTTCACATAGAGTAAAGTTTGGGATCACAGGCTCAAGACTTAGACCACCAGGAATGAATTCCAGTTTTTGAAGTTTTCTGTCCTGTGATTTTGTAAATATTGGATGGATGGACTTTTGTGATCTCAGTGGGGAAAGGATGGGATTGGGTTCAATGCGTTGACATTTTAAAAGCCCTTAGAATGGTGTCCAGTGGTGTGATTTTTAAAAAATATTTTATTTTATGTGTATGCGTGTATTGCCTGAATGTAGGTAAGTGCACCCATGTCGTGCAGTGTCCTCGGAGGACAGAAGAGGCCGTTGGAGCCCCTGGAACTGGAGTTACAGACAGTCGTTAGCTGCCATGTGGGTGCAGGTCTTCTGCAAGAACAGCCAGTGTTGTTAACTGCTGAGTCATGTCTCCAGTACCAGTGGGGTGATTTTTATAGCTGCTGATTTCTTTGTGCTTTGAATGGCTGGCTTGTTGGAGAGTGACAAAACTATCCTCAGATGGTCTAGCTCAGGGGCAGCAGACAGGCTGGTGTTAAAGATATGACACAGACTCTGACTCGGGACGTGCACAGGAGGTTCTACAGTGTGGAAAGAATGAGTTTGGAGTCTGCAAAAGGTTATTTTTTCTAACACACAAGTACTTCTTTAAATATTTACTTTCCTCTTCCTGACGTGGAGAAGGACTGAACATGGACTTTTCCTATACTTTTCACATTGTTGGGGCACCACAAATAATGGAAAAACAGAAATTATGTGTTTTAAATTACTTCAGACCAGCACAGCATAGCCTCATAGTTTCCTTGACCCAGGGACCCAACTGAAAACTGTTTTTTTATTTTTTCACCCTAGAAATAACAGTAATTTCTGGAACCCCCCCCCCAAAGGTATGCATTGTAGAATGGCTACACTTTGGACTAGTGTGACCGCACTGGATGCCTTTTTCTTCTCAAATTCTCGGTTTTTTCAATCACAAAATGGAAATGACACAATAGCCCCTCAAAATTGCTGTAAGGACCAAGTGAGGGGCAGAAAGATGAAGACCGTCAGTTTCATGTCTCATATCTAAGCTTGTCTCAGGCAGTCTCGGTTAATCTTATGACTGTATCCTCAGTCCTTGAACGATGTCTGACTCCTGCTGAATATTGCCTGTGTGGATATATATAGGAACAAAGGCTTTGTTGTGTGTTGCACACTATAATCTTCCCAATCCACTACAAAGAACAGAGCAATCACACCCATCTCCTGGATGGTGAAGCAGGGGACTGAAGAGGTCTCAGGGTTCGTTTCCAAGTCTTCCCTTAATAGTACCTGAGAAAAAGCATTCTCAGCTCAAAACAACCCTCCATCTACTGTCTCAACTCCCACTCCCTATGATGCTAGGCATACTGCTAAGACATTAGACCACAATGGTGTGTGTGTGTGTGTGTGTGTGTGTGTGTGTGTGTGTGTGTTCTGAAAGTTGAATCTTAATAACCAGGGGTCATTTACTCAGAGATAGGTCAGGATCATGTCCTTGTGACTTGTCATTTCTCTTTATGGTGTATTTGTATCCCACAGGCCATGCGGGTACAGACAGAGATGGAGCTGCGCATGTTCCGCCAGAATGAATTCATGTACCACAAGATGCGAGAGGCTGCTCTGAACAACCAGCCCATGCAGGTCATGGCTGAGCCCAGCAATGAATCAGCACCTGCTCTGTTCCATAAGAAGCAATGAGGACCTAGTTGGGGGTGTGGAGGCAATGTGGCCAGGGAGGTAGGGATGGAGTTGTCAGGTCTTAGAGACCGTTGATGAGGGAGTCAGAGTGATGCTCAATTTTGTGTTTTGTGGGAATGTACTGTCCTGTGCCCCCCACTTTTATTTTGGTTCAGTTGAACTCAACTTAGCTCTGTCTCATCCAAGCCCATCTCTTTCTAGAAATATATTTATTGGGTGTTGAAATTCACCATCTATTTAATGAAGGAACTTCAAATATAGTTGAGTTAGGAGGAACGTGAAAACAATTTAAAACACAATTGCAATGGTGAGCTACATGGGTAAGGGTGCAGAGGAGGGTGAGTGTGTCGGAGGGGATGACATCTGAGCTGAGTGTGGGCAGCTGGAATCTCAGATGGCTGCCCACCTATCTGTGCAGGTATCTCTGGAGTTGCTGGTCTCACCTATGGTCAAGAATATTTAAGATTTGGCAGATTGAGATGTCCCATTTCCTCAGGCTGTGTGGAGGCATAGACAAAAGGTTGGGGCTAACTTTGTCCTTTTAAGATCTACTGAAAGACCTGAAACCCCTTCAGGAAGGTGCCTAGAAAGAGGCAGGGGACTTGTCTAAACCACTTGTGGCCTCAATTCCATGTGTGAGTTTGAAGTATAATTTTAGAAATGTTTCTGAAACACACAGAAAAAAATACTTCTCTTCCCTATCCTACTCACTGAGCCTGAGGCTTCTGGCAATGTGAGGGCCACTTGAACAGCAGCTGAGATTTTCCAGGTTGGCCTAGTGGGATTGAAAAAGTGTTTTCAGGGTAAAGTTGAGAGAGCAACATGGAAGCTGACGATCATGGGCCCAGTAGAACTGGCTTGTGGAGTTCATTTGGTTCCATATGCCTCTGTGAACTCTGTCAGCTTGGACTTCATCATTGGCCCAGTCAAGCTCTGTTTTCTAAGTGGATGATTATTACTTTCTTGACTTAATTTCTTTATTCTGCCCATGCCCTGGGGGCCTCCACCTTTTCACTAGAAGGAACACTTTTGTTCATCTGGGCTAGAATCTCTTCAAAGTCGTGATGAATTTTCCTTATTCGCGGTGAGGCTGATTTCCATCTGAGAAATGAAGGTCTTGGGAATCAGCCAATGCCAAGGATACCTTTTAGTTTCTGAGACCCCAACTTCCTCACCAATGCTTTGGGGGATTCTGAAGCAAATTCCCTCAGCTGAGGGTGACACCAAGACTTCTATACTACCATTGACCCCAGAACTCCAACATTTTTGAAGTCACATGATTCCCACCAAGCCACAAATTTATTTCTGCCTAAAACAATAGTCCTCCAATCCCACCCTTTCATTCTGGAATGACCCCCTGCAGCCCTGACCAGTATCTGAAACATCTGCAAATGGGCCACTTCTTTACAGAGTATTTGTACCTAACATTTGGCTCTTCTTTGAGAATTTGTTCTTTTCTAGAAGCTTCTACAGGAAGACCGACAGTTCTTTCAAGCTCCCATCTGCTCAGGCTTAGAGACAACACTGATGTTTTCCACAGAATCCAGCTGGTTTATTCAAATACTCCCTTTCCTCAGTTTAAAACCTGTCCTCAAGCCCTCTCCCCATCTTTGTCACGGGTGTCTGCCAACCCACTGGTCATTGGTCACAGTCTGGTCCCATGTTCACGGTCATTTTTAACTCTTCTTAAAACTTGTTTTCCGTGGATTTTTCTCTGTGTGTACTCCTCCATCTCTCTCAGACCAGTAGACTTGGACTCTCACTAGCTAACCTCTGCTCCCGTGCTCTGGGCCTCTTGCCCTCCTGTGCCCTTTAGATCTTGTTCCTTCTCTCCTGGGTCCTATTCTCCCACCACTGGCCTTCTTTAACGAAGTCAATAGACATGCTGAGAACTCTTGAGCATAATCTTCACAGCTGAGTGTTCTCTTTCATTGTATAGTTTTGAATCTTTTCTCACTTTTATCTTTTCTTGAACCCACTACAGACTGGCTTCCACTCTTGCTCCTCCATTAAAATGACTCTTAACAAAATTGACTCTATTGGGCACTTTTTAAGTTCTTACCTTACTTGGCCTCTGTCAGTTGTACCCCCCCAACCTTGACTTCTGTGACCCCACTCCTTTGTGATGATCCTCTGATGTGGTTTCTCAGGCTTTCTGATTTTGTTTCTCTACCTGCCCTTGATATGTTGAAATTTCCTGGAGTTGGTTTCATCCTTGGTTCAGTCTCTTCTCACTCTACACACACCCCTGCATGAGCTTAGGCATGCCTTTTGTTTAATGACCACCTTGAGGTTGGTGAATCTCAAGTCTATTCCCCAACCTTGCAGCTTGAGCATCCCTCCTCTCATCCTCTGGTGCTCTGTTGTACATCAAACTCAGCATGCCCCAAACGAGACCTAGCTTCCTCTCTCCTCTCCTCCAGTACCTAGTCATCCTCATAACATCACCCACAAATTTCTCCTCCTTCATCAGACTGTGAGCTCACGAGGGCAGGGCCATGCCCCTCTATTCATCTTTCTAGAGCCTAGCATAGGTCCTGGAACATGGTAGGTGCTCAGTAAGTGTGTGTTGAAGGAATAAATGACAAATGAATGAATTTGCTTATTCCAGAGTAAAAGAGATATGAAACTGTGCACTTTGAGTTTTTATGTTGCATCATTCAACAAAGCCCATTAAACTCTCTGTGTTTCCAAGCAAATAGTTGTGGCCTCTTTCTTTCTGACAGTTTTTTCTCAGAGGAGCACTGTCTTGAGGAGTTTCCTATGATGATGGAGATGTGTTATATCTGTACTGCCTAATGGTGTGGTCACCAATATAACTACTGAGCATTTGAGTAAGACTAAGGACCTGGATTTTAAATTTTATTTCATTTCAACTAATTTATGTTTAAGTAGCCAAGGTGACCAGTGGCTACAGCATTAGACTTTATAATTTTAGAGAAATCCTTTAGTGTGCTTTTTAAGATCTTAGGCACTGATAAAAATGAATGAAGTTTGCCTTCATCCTACTGGCCCGATGCTGGCTGTGTGACTTTGCACTGGTTACTTTACTCATGCCTCAGTTTCCTCATTTCTCCTACCTCTGTTTGCTGTGAACTGAAACATAAAGCTCTTAGAATAGTGCCAGGCCTGTCAGCAGTGCTCAGCGAGTGTTCAGTATTATTGCACCAGTGGCAGCCACATTTCTGCTGGGGTGTCCATTCCTCTAAATGGTAAGGGTGGAGCAGTGTGGTGTGCTGCAATCAGCTCTTATCAGGTTTGGGAGCCAGCTGTGTGCATGTCTTCCTAACACTGAGCTCATAAATACTCTGATAGATAACTTGAAATTGATCACAGTGGGAATGTTTATACTATGATAACTGACTTACCCTTGATCACATTTGTAAACTATAAAAAGGGAATAATAGAGTGGATTGTTTGAATTAAAGAAGTCTTTGTTTAAACCAGAGTGGAATATGTACTCTGAAAACTTTACCCCTCAGAGCAACACTAAACATGTCCAAGAGTTCTGTGTACCAATCTCAACAGGAAACCACCTGAATTGTTCCTTCATTGGTGAATTCGAGCACTACCTGATATGGCCACTGCCTGGGTGAATCTCTCGGGGTTTACTTTTCTAAAGATTGGAGAAGGAGCACTATAATGGGAACATCACCATGGCCAGATTTTTTTTCCCTACAAAACATTTCATGTAATGTTATCTATAGCACTATAAACACCTCTTCAAGTATATGCTGTCTCCTGCATCAAGTTCGAGCTCCTTACCAGAGTAAAATGATATTCACCGTGGAGACTCAGTCCATTCTCTGTATCATCTTGTGCATGCCCCACATTTATCACACTTCCTTGTAAAGTAAGTGCACTTGGATACTTTCCTTTGATGCTTTTCTGTTGTGAAATACTAGAAAATGACAAATGCTCAGCATATATAGGAAAAGTGATCCAGGGTCAGTAAGATGGCCTATCAGGTAAAGGCGGTTGTCACCAAGCCTGATGACCTGAGTTCAATCCTTGGGTCCCATGTGGTGGAAGGAGAAAACCAGCTCCCACAGGCTGTCCTTTGACCTACATATATCCCCACCCACCTCACCCCCACAAAATAAATACAATATGAAACAATTTTTTTCAAGCACTAAGCTGGGGCATAGACTGAATTAGACTCTCTTCCTTTACCTTCTCAAATCACTTTCTTTACCCTAATGGTAGTCAGTTAAAAAAATGAAAAGTTTAAGAAATGAAAAAAAGGGGGAAAGGAAGCAGCCACTTTGTAGATATTGGGACTTGCATTATCTGTCGGTCTTCTCGTGTGAAAGAGCGTCCTGTGTTGGTGAAATAGCCACAGGCTCTGTGAAGGGCTGTGGCAGTGTGTGTGGCAGGGAGGAGGACTGGAGGGAGTTGGGGGCAAAGGTAAGAATAGCAAATCCCATCAACAGCTCTTTGTTCAATTTACAGACCTCGGACTCTCGGTTCTCTAGGCATCTATACAAAATCCAATTTCAATGTCTTCCAAGGCAAAAATAAACAATTTTTCCCCAGACCCAAAGAGAGCCTGTTAGGAGGAGTCTTTGGGAATTTTGTCTGATCTCTAGAGGCTTTGATGAAGAGCATTTGCATTACTTTTCCCTCTTGTGGCCTCAGAGTCAAAGAAGCACCATTTATCATCTGGACAGACAAAGCAAACCTCTTTCCTATGCTTCAGCACTCTGAGGTCAGTGTTTCTATTCCTGACAGCTTCTGCTAATGTACTGAATATTCCCCCTTCTGACTAGCCATCCCTGAGGAACCTGACAACGGCATTTGGTTTGCAGGCCATTTCATGGCTCCTCATAAAAGCCAGGAGAAGGCATTATACTGCCTATTTTACAGGAGAGAGGACTGCAGTCTCAAATCATAGATCAGTTCACTCTACCATACATTCAAACCAAATACTTTTCTTGTTAAAAAGTTAATTGGTCAGGAGCGGGAGAGATGACTCAGTGGTTAAGAGAACTGGCTGCTTTTGCGGAGGACCTGGGTTTGATTCCCAGGACCCACATGGCGGCTAACAACCGTCTGTAACTCCAGTACCAGGGGATCTGACGCCCTCTTCTGACCTCGACATGGGTGCACCTACCTACATGCAAGCAATACTACCCATACACATTAAATTTTTTAAAAAGTTAATTGGTTACTAAAACACAGTTTCACAAAATTAGTTGCTTGCAAAAGATTTAAACAACATAAATTGTGCAAAAATCTCTTAACCTCTCAATTTTGTTCCTGACCCAGAGGTACTATTAT